AAATCAATGACATTGAAAATAGGAACTCAACAGAGAAAATCAACAAAACAAAAAGGTGGTTCTTTGAAAAAATCAACAAAATTTATAAGTTACTGGTCAGACTAATTAAGAAAAAAAAGAAAGGATACAAGTTACTAATATCTGATTTGAAAGAGGGGACATTACTACACATCACATTTACATTGAAATGATAATAAGGGACTGCTGTTTTTAAAACCTTATGCTCACAAATTTGGTAACATAAATGAAATAGAACAATTCCTTAAAAGACACAATCTGCCAAAACTCACACAAGAAGAAATAAACAATTTGAATAGGTTAATATCTATTAAATAAATGGAGTCAATAATTTGCCAAAACAGATAGCACGAGGTTCAGATGGATTCACTGGTAACTTCTGTCAAACATTTAAAAAAGAAATTGTACCAATTCTTTATCATCTCTTTCAGAAGATAGAAGCAGAGGGAATACTTCCAAACGCATTGTATAAGGTTGGCAGCATCCTAATACCAAAACCAGACAAAGTCATCACTAATCAAGAAAACTACACAACAATATTTTCCATAAACATACAATAAAAATCATCAAGGAAATATTAGCAAATCAAATCCAAGAAATGTATAAAAAGAATTATATTCCTTGGCAGTAGCAGAAAACTGCCAGGGGAGGGGGGAAATACTTCATCAACAAGGATACCTGCATAATAAATATTTGTATACCCAACCCTGAATTGTGCCCCACATCTTTAAAATAAAAATAAATAAATAAGAATTATACTCCATAACCAAATAGGATTTATCCTGGCATGAAAGGCTGGTTCAACATTCAAAAGTCAATTAATATAATCCATCACATCAACAGAAAAAAGTAATATGATAATATCAACAGATAGACAAAAACATTTGACAAAATCTGACACGTATTTATGAATTTAAAAAAAAACTCTCAGTAAAGAAACTTTTTCAACTTAATAGAGAATACTACAAAAACCCTGCAGCTTACATTATAATTAATGGTGAAAAACCAAAGCCTTCTCACTAAGATCAGACACAAGGTAAAGAAGATCCCTCTCACCACTGCTTTTCAGCTGAAATTTCTAACTAAAGCAATAAGACAGGAAAAAAGTAAGTAAAAGGGATCAAGATTGGGAATGAGGAAACAGAAGTTTTTTGTTCAAAGTTGACATAATTGCTTATGTAGAAAATCTGATAGATTGACAAAAAACTCCTGGAAATAATAAGTGATAGTAGAACCCCTAAAAATGAAATATGTAGATATAAATCTATATGTATAAGATCTGTATAAGGAATTTTGATGAAAGAAATCAGAGAAAAACTAAGTAAGTGGAGAGATATTCCATGTTCACTGATAGGATGATTCAATACTATCAAAATGTCAGTTTTTCCTAACTTGATCTTTGGATTCTATGTAATCTCAATAAAAATCCCATCAAGTTACTTTATGGATATCAACAGTGTGACTTTTAGGTTTATATAGAGTCAAAAGACCCAGAATAATCAACACATTATCTGATGGAGAAGAATCAAGTTGGAGGACTGACACCAACAGCTTTAAGATTTACTATAAAGCTGTTGTAATCAAGACAATATGCTACTGGTGAAAGAACAGACAAACAAATAAATGGAACAGAATAGCCCAGAAATCGACTCACATAAATACAGTCAATTCATCTTTGGCTAATAAACAAAAGTAATACAGTGGGGTCTTTTGAATGATAGGTTTTTGAAGAAATGGTGTTGGAACAATTGGACATCCATTTGCCAAAAAAAACCCAAAAACACGGAAATCTAGACACAGACCTTACACCTTTCGCAAAAATTAACTCCAAATGGATCATTGACCTAATCATAAAACACAGAACTAGAAGACTCCTAGATACTAACAGAAGAAAAATCAAAATAACTTTCAATTTAGCAATGAATTTTTAGCTACAACAGTAAAAATACAATCCACAAAATAAAGAGTTGGTAAGCTGGTCTTTAGTAAAATTTAAAATATTTAGTCTGTAAAACTCAAAAGAATTAAAAAGACAAGCCTCATACTAGGAGAAAATACAGTTGTCCCTTGGCATCCATGGAGAATTGATTCCAACCCCTCATGGATACCAAAATCCACAGATCCGCATATAAACTTACTAGCATTTGCATATATCCTATATTCATCCTCCCATATATTTCAAACAATATCTAGATTACTTATAATATCTGATACAATGCCTACACAGCTCTCCATTCACATGGATTCAATGTAATACTTGGTGCTTAACAAAATGTAAATTTTGCTTTTTGGAACTTTGTGGAATTTTTTTCAAATATTTTCAAACTGTAGGTTGAATCTGCAGATACAGAACCCACAGATATGAAGTGCTGACTGTATTTGTAAAAGACATAGCTGATAAAAAACTGTTATTCAAAACATACAAAGAAAGCTTAAAACTGAATGATTAAAAAAAACAAACAACCAGATTAAAAAACAGGTCAAAAACCTTAACAGACACCTCACCAAAGGAGATATACAGACAGTAAGCAAGCATATGAAAAGATGCTCTACGTCATATGTCATCGCAAATGCAAATTAAAAACAATAACGAGATTCCACTATACACTAAATGCTGTTGAGGGCATGGAGCAACTGAAACTCTCATTCATGCTGGTAGAAATGCAAGATGGTACATCTACTTTGAAAGACAGTTTGGCAGTGTTTTACAAAACTAAGCATACTCTTACCATACAATCCAACAATCATTTTTTTATTTACCCAAAAGATATGAAAATTTATGCCCACACAAAAACCTGTGCACAGATGTCAACAGCAGCTTTATTCATAATTGTCAACAACTGAAAACAGCCAAGATGTCCTATAGCAGGTGAATAAATAAATAAACTGTAATATATTCAGCAATCGAATGTTATTCAGCACTAAAGAAAAATTTACCATCAAGTCATTTAAAATGAGGGGAAACTTCAATACATATTATTAAGTGAAAGAATTCAATCTGAAAAAACTACGTATTGTATCATTTAAGAAATATACAACATTCTGGAAAAGGCAAAACTATGAAGACAGTAAAAGATCAGAGTTTCCTGGGGATAGAGAGGAGGGGAGGTGTTGGGAGCCAGCCTTGGAGGCCCGCCTGATTGACAAAGTCCAGGTGCGCCGAGGACCCCCGGCCGCAAAGCAAGTCTGGGCAGCTGAGGCCCTTCTATCTTCCATCCTTGCTGTTGGTACGGCTGAAGAAATTCTGTGCAGTCGTGGAAGAAGAAAATGGCATGTTTATGCGAAGTACTCACAGCTAACCTGAGAATGTCATGGTTCATTTTTCCATTTTCCCACTATGCCGCTTGGCCTTTTCTAATATATGCAAGGGTTAAACTCTGAAGCACATCAAGAATGCTTTCTTTCACTTGGTTATAAGTTACTAGATACTGCTTAAGTAATAAATGATATAAGTATATTCACTCCTTATTTGATTTAGAATTATGTAGTTTAGTGTTTAGATATAAGGTTTTTAGAAGCACAAGTTTATAGTAAGTTCATTATGAATTCATTATAAGTTCTAACACTTATATAGGAGTTATGTGGGTGATTTATAACACTGTTTTCACTGACTTAGGATAAAGATTAATCGTTAAGGTTTTTACTTAATTCAATAGTTAAAACTCCAAGTTAACATTTATAGAGTGGGTTTTCACTGAACTCATAATATACTAATCAGACACTTTTATGATAACTTAGCTAGAGACAGAAAGCAACCTTGGGGGCCTGGGAAACATTACTAAAAGCTTCTTTTAAGTTTTCTTTAGAAACAAGCACTGCAGGATAAGAGAAAAGTAACAAAGATACCTGGACAAGAAAGGCGATTACAGAACTCTGAAGGCCATAAAGCCCCAGAAGGAAGACTACTGCTAAACTTTCTGGAGACAGTTCAAGGACTGTAATTTGGGACTTTGGACTAAAACTATCATCTTTGGCCTTATGACTCATTATCTGAATGTTTACAGGGTTCTTGGCTTGTTTATTGCTAAGACCACTAGATGGTGGTAACTTGTAGAGGATATGTACGTGAAGGAATTTTCTTTGTCTTGCCCCTTCACGAATGGTATAAAAGCTCTGTGTTAACTAACATTAAATTGTCATCTGTTCAAGAAGCAGGTGTCCGGGTATATTATCTTCGTCTTTTGCCTATCCTTCTCTCCTTCAGGAAATCTCACGACCCGGCAAGGGGCTGGTCCCCTTCAGGGAGGGAATGATGAATAGATGAAGCTTAGAAGATTTTTAGGGTAGTGAAATTATATTATACTATTAATGGTAGCTATATCTCATACATTTGTCCAAGAGCATGAATATACAACACCAAGAGTGAACCCTGTGCAAACGATGGACTTTGAGTGATGATGATGATGTGGTGTCGATGTAGGTTCATTAACTGTAACAAATGTACCACTCGATTGGGGGGGAGGGGAAACAAATGTACCACTCTAGTGGAATATGTTGATAATGGAGAAGGCTTGGCATGTGTGAGAATAGAGGTCGTAAGGAAACTTTTGTACCTTCCGCTCAATTATGCCATGAACCTACAATTTCTCTTAAAAATAAAGTATATTTGAATTGCTTTATTTCAAAGTTAATTATGTCAAACAAAAATTTTAGAGACAGTAGGATTGGGAGGGAGATATAGAAAATAAATTGCTAAACCTGTTAAGATTTACTTTTGAAGTGCTTTGAGGTAATAATCTAGGTTTCAAAATTTGAATGACAAATGTTTGATATGCCATGGGTTTGTTTAATGATCATATACTTGAAACAGGTAATAATCACAGAAATTCATTTAAATGAAAATTTTACCTAAACCCTTAAATAAAATGTTGAGACAATAAAGCTATAAATATATATAGGACAAGTCAATATCCTAAAATAAAAAAGCTGTATGAATATCGGGTACTCTTCTGTTAGAATTACGACTAAAAGATGAGCATTACCTAATGTGTCATTATCCTTGCTCGTTTGCTGCATTGACGAATTGTTTGGTTGAGTAGGACCTTCAACTTCTGAACCTACGCATTCTGAAAAGACACAGGAGACAGAGAAATGTGCATTAGTAGGTCTGACTCCTAGTTAAAAATCACATTTTTTCATGTTCTTTGAACTATGTTTGTAATGCAGTTGACAATGAATACATAAATTATGGCAGCCAAGCAAAAATGTCAGCAAAATTTTCAGTATGAAGTTTTGACCTACTCTTCCTGCCTCTTTGCTATATCCCTGCTTTAAGCCCAAAGTGCTTGTTACCATCCTTCTCCTTTATAGTCAAGTCAAAGTACTTCTTCTCACAGGTTTATATGTGTTTAGTCTATCTCTGAGTGTGGAAGAGAATATTTTACTATCAGTTACAAACTTTTTAAGTACCAGTGAGTAGGCAGAAAGAGTTTAGTGGCAATGTAAGATTGGACGCTGGTTTGAAACAAAAGGACTTTCCTAAGATTTATTGAATCACATCATATAGACAACGGCCTATTAAGCTCATATTTTGTAAGGCGAGGTCTTAGTGGGAACTGCCAGTACACATCTTTTGAACAGCAGTTACTGACAAGGTACTCTGCTAAACACAGAGACATCATAATACACAGTACCTTCTTTCTGAGAGCTTTGGATCCAGGATAGGAAGCAGCTATGTAAACAATTATATGTCAAGTTTTCAGTGCAGTGACAGAAGTTGTACATTGTCATTTCCGGGAGTTTAAAAGAACAGGTATTTAATTCCAAGAGAACAGAGGTGAGAGATTAGGAAAACTTTCCTATAACAGGTGATATTTGAGCTAGATCTTAGTACATGAATTTTTCCAGGAAGGCAGAGGAAAAGAGAGTTGCAAACAAAAATAATGACATTTAAAGAAGGCACAAATACAAATGGATATTAGTATGCTTTAATTGTGCAGGACTCAAAGCTCCTAAAAAATGTTCACAGGAAAAAGATATACTCCAGTTAATCTATAGTGGGTGTATCCGACTAGCAAATAGAAACATTTTAGAGTAAAATTTAATGCTCAGGGTTTCTCTAAAGAAATTTTGAATATACAGTGCACCTCTTAGCTGCCATTTTCTTTTACAGTCTTCTTTTGTTAATAATAATTTATTCAACACCTATAGTAGGAACTGATTTGGAGTAATTTGTCTATGTTATGTATTTTCATCTCTCTATAACTAGCATAAACTTTCTCATTTTACAGATAAAGAAATGTAGATTAAATGATTAAGCAATTTGACCAAGAACACTTAGCTAGTAAGCTGCTTCTGTCACCCAGTTATGATTCTTTGTGCAAGTAAGCCTTACTGCAGTGAGTAGAAATCAAGAGATAGATGCTAAGAAATATATTAAGATAAGTACACTAACCAAATTAATCCAAATTGAAAGTGTTGATGAAATGTATCTAAGCATGTTACTGCAGAAACACTAAAAAACAAATTTCTGAAAGAGCTGACCAAGTGAAATCAGGATTGCAAAGCCCTTGGACACAAGCATTATGAATTCTAGTACTGAATGGGAATGGTTAGGTTAGAGAGGAGAATCTGAAACAACTCTCAGCATTTAAGAGCCAAACTCATTGTTCCCTCACTAGATTGTAAGCTCCACGAGAGTAGGGACGTCTATGTTGTTCATGCTACATCCTCAGTTCATAGAATAGTGGTTTTACACAGCTCCTTGGTACATGAGTGTCTCAAGCTGGGTTATAAGTAAAGGTCAAAATAATACTATAGCTAAACTGGACTTAAGATATAAACAGATAATTTATAGGAAAAGAAGTACAAATGGAAAGATATTCAATATCATTAGTGGTAAGAGAAGTACAAATGAAAACTATTTGGAAATATAATTTCTTACCTGTAAGACTGGTACAATCCAAAAGATTGTCAACATACACCGTTGGCGAGGCTGTAACGAGATAGGCATGCCTGTATGTTTGTATCATTAAATTTTTCCAGTGAGGAGGAAAGGAGATACAGGTGTTAAATGAATAGGTTTAAGTAAAAACCGTGAATCCTAAATTTGAATCAAAAGTATCATTATCAACTCATGATATGTTTTACCTTTCAAAATGCAAATTTTCAGGCTGGGCTCGGTGGCTCAGCCTGTAATCCCCCGCTTTGGGAGGCTGAGGTGAGTGGGTTGCCTGAGCCCGCAGGTTCAAGACCTGCCTGGGCAATTTGGCGAGACCTCATCTCTACAATAAATCAAAAAAATTAGCCGGGCGTGGTAGCGCGCCTTTAGTTCCAGCCACTTGGAAGGCTGAGCAGAAAGATCGCCGGAGCCCAGCAGGTCGAGGGTGCAGTGGCCGGGAGCTGCCACTGCACTCCAGTCTGGGCGACAGAGTGAGACTTCAACTCAAAAACAAACAGACAAACAAAAAAACATATTTTCTATCTTTTGCTAAGTTTTGGAGTAATTTATCGCATAGCAATAAGCAACTAATGTAGCTATCAACCACACTGACCTAATTCATATTTTTAGACACTAACCCAGCATCTACAGAATACACATTCTTCTCAAGTGCACATAGTATATTCACTGAGTTTGACCACATTCTAGGCCACAAAAAGCATCTCAAAAACTTTTAAAAAACTAAAATCATACAAAAGATGTCCTCCAACCAAAACAGAATTAAAATGGAAATCAACTACAATGAGATATTTAAGAAAATATCAAATATTTAGAAATCAAACACATTTCTAAGCAATTCTTTGCTCAATTAGGAAATCCATAAGGAATTTAGATAATATTTTGACTGGATAATAATAAAAATACAACATACAAAAATTTGTAATAAGCAACTAACACGGTTCTTACAGATAAATTAATAATTTTAATCCTAATTTAAAAAGAAGACAAGTCTCAAATTTGCTTAAAGAAGCTAACAACAAAGAGAAAAGAGGTCATCAATAAATCTAAGAGCAGTAATCAATAAAATAGAACACAAAGGGTACCTGCATAATGAACAGTAATAAATTGTACCCCACATTTTTAAAATAAAAAATTAAAAGTTAAAAATATAAAATAAAATAAAATAGAAAACAAGCAATGTGAAAAATTAAGGAAATCAAGCACTGGTTCTTTGAAAACACCAACATTTGCCGGGCTCAGTCGCTCAGCCTGTAATCCTGTGCCTTTGGGAGGCTGAGGTGAGTGGACTGCCTGAGCCCGCAGGTTCGAGACTCGCCTGGGCAGGCGAGACCTCATCTCTATAATAATTAAAAAATTAGCCGGATGTGGTAGCACACGCCTGTAATTCCGGCTACTCGGAAGACTGAGGCAGAAGGATCGCCGAAGCCCAGCAGGTCAAGGCTGCGGTGGCCGGGAGCGTCCACTGCACTCCAGTCTGGGCGACAGAGCGAGATGCCAACTCAAAAAAAAAAAAAAAAAAAAGAAAGAAAACACCAACATTTATAATGACTGATCAAGAAAAAAATTAAGACAGCACAAATCTCTAATACTAGGAATAAAAGAACCATTAATATAAATCTACATTCACAAAAGGAATGACAAAATATTATGCTAATCAAATTCAATAACTTAGATGAAACAAATTATTTAAAAGACACAGTTTTCACAGCTTATTTGAGAATAAATAGATAATCTGAAGAGCCTTATAGTTTTTAAAAAATTGAATTTGTTGATAAAAATCGTTCCATCAAATTGACTACACTGACAAATTTAAGCAAACATTTAAGGAAGAAGTAATACTAATTTTACACACAAACTCAGAAAATCAACAAGGAGGGAACATTTTGTATAGGGAGAATTAACCTTATGTCAAACCAGATAAACACATTACAAATGGCAAAAATGATGACCAGTAACACAAATATGACACAAATTTTTTACAAGATATTAACAAATAAAATCTTGCACCATTTAAGAAGTATGAAATTAGCTGAAGCATTTTCTCAGGTGTCCCTTAATAGTTTGAGTACATTTTCTTCCATTGAGTTTACACTTTGCCAAAAAAAAAAAAAAAAAAGATATTCGAGTGGCCAAGAGACACACAAAAGGTTGTTCAATATTAGTAACCATAAAGAAAATGCAGATTAAAAACAGTGAGATTACATACCTATAAGCAAGATTAAAATTAAGAAGACTGATAATAAGTACTGGAAAGAACATGGAGCAATTAGAATTCTCATACAATACTAGTGAGAATGTAAAATGATATAATTATGGGGGAAAATTTCTGGCAGTTTTTTTCAAAATTCAAATGTACCCACCATATAACATGGCCATTTCAATAGTATTTACCTAAGATAAATTAAAACATATGTTCACATGACACTTGTGCATGAATGTTCATAGTGGCTTTATTTACAACTATTTATTCAAAATTTCCAAAAATTGGAAATAACCCAAATGTCAATCAATAGTTAAACGAATAAATTATCCATATAATGGAATCCAACTCAACAAAAAGGAAAGTCCAACACTGACAAATCTCAGAATTATTTTGTTGAGTGAAACAACATCAGCAAACATGCTATTCAAAATAGTGCTAATATAAAATGCTAGGTAACTTATCAGTGGTTGCCTGCAGATGGGAGTGAGGCAAGGATGGATTACTAAAATACATGATAAATATTTTGGAAATGATGAAAATGTTTTGTATCTTGTTTGTGGTGACGATTCACAGGCATATACAACGGTCAAAACATTAAGTTTTATATGTTTTTTGAGCGAATAACTTTATAAAAAAGAGCAAGTATAAACAGCTTGAAAAAGAAGAAAAAAATCCGTTCAATCTGTCCTTGTTAAAGGGGAGAGAGCAAACGCAGTGCCCCACTACCACAAATTATGCAGTCGAGCTTCCCGCATTTGGGGAAATCATAGGGGTCAGTACATTCAGAATGCAAAGGGTGAGTAAGCCTCGCCCTGGGAAAACCACCTTCATGATCATGGTATCTCCCCTTCCAGGTAAGTATGAAAATTTTATATTTTAAATGGATGTAACTAATTGTACGTAAATTATTTCTCATTACAGTTCAAAGGGGATCAATAAAAATGGTATCGGAAACTTTAGGTCTTAATACACATAAATTTAGAACACACATCCACACAAATAGACACAAAACAAATACAAAAACTCTTGACACTGAAAATGTTAAAAAAAAAAAAAAAAAAAAGCCTTTTCCATCTAAGTTAAATCATCAGCAGAAAAGAAACAGTATTTTATGATTTTACTACTAGTGAAACCTATTACTCACTTCGAGCACCAGAAGTTTCCTTTCCCAAATCACCATCGTCATATGCTTGAGCAAACATATACCACCCACGCAATAGGCATGACTATGCAAACCCATACTCCACAGAGGCTTCCTCCGGTGAGGAAAAAAAGGCTCTCAGAAACAGCACATGACTTTCTTGTGATGTTAAACCGTTTTTAAGTATTGCAAAGAGCAGTGCTCTACTCTCTGAAAAACTTGGAGTCAGGCATTTCTGAAACGTCATCATTCCCGTTAAAAATTCCTAATTCAGTAATTGTTATTACCCAAAAGAGAGCATGGATGATGCCATAGTTAATAGTTAACATTGTTTCTAACATACATTTATCATTTCTAATGTTTGGGAATGGGAAACAAGGTAAGATTTTCTACCTCTTCATTCATTTGCAGGTCTTTTGGAAGAATACAAAGAAGTTAGTGTGACTGGGTGAAGGGGTGCTCCTCCGCTGTGGGACGGGTGGACGACCAGTTTCTTGTGTTCACGTTTGGAGAGAATTCGCAAACAGGCACACAAAGCAAAACAAGCAAAGAGTAGTACACTCTCAAGAGAGGAGGGCAGACAGAAACAGCTGCTGCTAGTGCACTCAACTATGTTTGAGCTATAATTTCATTCTTAGGAGTGAAGAGTGGTGAGTTTTGGAGTGGTCTTATTCTAGAAATAAGTGGTCTTAGGGCTGGGTTGCTGTTACTCCTCCCTCACGTCCGGCAGAGGAGTTTTAGGAGTTATTAGGGTCATACGGGTACCATCGTGGTGTCAGGAGCGGGAGGTTCCCCTAGGGTAATTTTATGCTAATAATATTATAATGAGAGGGAAAGTAGGTTATTATTATCTTAGATTAACCTTGACTATTGATGCGCATGCTCCAGGATGCCTCTAAGTCAGTTTCTGCCTTGGCAGTCGGCATCCTGGAAAAACGGCCTACAGGGATACAGGTATATCTGTTATGTGAGTCTAACAAGGTAGGTGTGACGTTTCCTATAGCTAGACTGTCTTGCTTGCATACATGGGATGCACCAGCTGCTTCAGACATCAATAGGTTTGGAAAATTCCTACAGCCCCAATGTTTTCCTAGTCTAACCTGCCTAATCTAATCTATCATTAGCAGTCTGATAAATTGATAAGTGAACTTCAAACTAAAACTCTTAACTTGGGGTAGAACTACAGACAAAATAATGTGGCTATGATCTAATAAGATAACCATAGAGCCGGAACTGTGTTGAATGGTTTTATTTTGACATTTCTATTGACATGTCTTTACAAGACTCGTTGCCTCTTTGCTGATACTGAACTAAGTATAATTCATTCTTATTGCTTATTATGAAACTTACAACTTGTTATCTGTGTTGTTATTTAAATTTTAATGAATTTATTACAATACTTCTTTTAAAAAGATCATAAAGGCCGGGCTCGGTGGCTCAGCCTATAATCCCAACACTTTGGGAGGCTGAGGCGAGTGGATTGCCTGAGCCCGCGGGTTCAAGACCAGCCCGGGCAACTTGGCGAGATCTTGTCTCTACAATAAAATTAAAAATAACCGGGCGTGGCAGCATGCGTCTGTAATTCCGGCTACTCGGAAGGCTGAGGCGGAAGGATTGCCAGAGCCCAGCAGGTTGATGCTGGGGTGGACGTGAGCATGCCACTGCACTCCAGCCTGGGAGATGGAGTGAGACTCCGACTCAAAAAAAAAAAAAGAACACAAAATAAATACACATGGAAATCTGTGAAAATATCCTGGTATTTTACTTGAGGAAAAACAAAGAAAATTATTTCACTCTTCATTTGGTGGTTCAAGCTTTCAAACTTCAATAACTCTTGCAAAGTTTCAAAGCTTCTTTCAAACTTAATAACTTTTTGAAGTTATTATAACATATATAGTGCTGAACCACTATGGATTAAGCATTAAGCCATTTCTAGTGGCTATAAAATATGAAGGATATGACTTTTACTTCGTTTCTTCTTTTCTGAAGTTTTTAGATAATTAAATGAATTTATATGCTTTGATTTTCCCCCTCTGCAAAACATGAATTATCATTCTTATTTAATTAACTCATAAAAGGAATTCAAAACTCATTACAAACTGAAGCATTAAACCTGTTGTAATTAAGCTGTACATTTCTGCTAAAGATTAATGGTTTCACTTTAAATGACTGCAACATTGTGACTGAGAGCTTACTCACGCAAAGACCTGGAAATTAAAATTACACTGCCAGAGCAACCGTTAATTAGTGAGACTAAGCACATGATTTTTTTTTTCTAATCACCAGTATGGTAAAGTCAATACAACAAAGAAACTTTTACTCTGGATCTCTTGGCTCAGGATAGCATAAAATATCAACCTCGATATTTTATTTAGTGAATGTTTTTACTGTGTTTTATAAATTACACATTATAGATGTGGGTTAGACAGAAAAGCATTATTTCTCATGAGTTTTTAGAGTTAGGAATTGATTCAAGTAAGAAGTCGTGGAATTAAATTGCCTCGTTTTTCAGAAGGTCCTCAAAATAAAATTAATTGTCAAATGGGTTAAGTATATTTCTGCCTCTAGTACAATGGTTTTCACAGTGTCATCTGGAGACTAGTAGAAGTCCATAGTAGCTAGCCAGAAAGTTCATGATAGTTTACAACTCTTGGGGGAGAAAGCCTGAATTACAATTTTATTTCTAATATATAATTTAAAACTTTCCTTCCAAGGATGTGAGGGAAAATATAAGCAAAAAGCAGTTATCACCCTGCTGATATGATTAGAAACATCATCAATTTCCCGGCCCCGTATACTGTTATTTTTATTTATTTGTTTATTTTGAGTTGGAGTCTCAGTCCATTGCCCAGGCTGGAGTGCAGTGGCACATGCATGGCCACCCCAGTGTCAACCCGCTGGGCTCTGGCAATCCTTCCACCTCAGCCTTCCAAGTAACCAGAACTACAGGCACGCCCTACCACGCCCAGCTAATTTTTTATTTATTGTAGAGACGAGGACTCGCCAATTTGCCCAGGCTGGTCTCGAACCTTGCAGGGTCTGGCAATCCACTCGCCTCAGCCTCCTAAAGTGCTGGGATTACTACAGGCTGAGCCACCGAGCCCAGCCTCTTATTTTTACAAAGCAAATGGAAATGATTGGAATAGGAAACTTGTGTGTTCTTTTTCTCTACTAAAGCAACCTGAAGGCTAATGCATTAATTTTTATGACAAATTTTAATGTAAACGATATTTTCTTTTCTGCATTCTAAGATAATGATCAGTTTCTCACTAGTAGTTTTCATTCATATGGCACCTGAGTTACCACCATCTATCAAAGCTTTTGGACTGATGGAGGGAGGCTTGGGGCTACACTAATATTCATTTAAGCAATTATTATAGGTAGACACTCAATAAATATCCATTTATCAGGGAGCATTCAATTTAATGGGGGCAACAGACTAATTAAACAACTACACAATTATGTGACATTATAAGAGCAATAAAGGAAAAGTATGAAAAGTATACCTTGAGCTACTTATTCCACTATTGAGATCTGTGGTTGGATAGTCTCTCGGAAGCCTCCCAATATTTCCCACTTGATATTTATGCCTTTGTAAAATCCCTTCCTCTTGGCCTACCAACTCACTTCCGACAAGTAGAATACAGCAGAAGTGCCGATGAGATGAGGCTATAAAAAGATTAAGGTTCCTGTCCTCGTGTGTCCTTGTGCTCTTTCTCACTCAGATCACTAAGAGACAATAAATATTTGTTGAGAGGAAACTTGTTATGTAGCAATAGGTAACTAATAGAAGATTCAGTGTATGAGAAGCAGATGAGAGGCAAAAAAAAGAGGGAGAGAGAGAAAGGAGTATTACAAAGTAAAGTAATATGTGCAAAGGACATATGGCTAGAGAAACTATAGGGAATTCTAGGATCTGAAGACCAACACTTAACAGAGTGTGTCAGCATTCACTGTTAACTAGTCTCACATAATGATTTCAGGATTTTGTTTCCTGAGACAAATGTATTTTCCTATGGAAAGAGAACAGAAAGGAAAAATAAATGTTTGCCATTTTAACAAAATGAAATGCAACATGATTTTCAAATTCAAACATTCTCCTTTGTATGTCTCATGGCTTAATATTTCAATTGTCCTTGATTCTAAAAAGGAAAGAATGGAGATACTAAATATGAGATTTCTTTTTTAAAACCATGTTTGTTATTTCCACACCAGCATTTTTCTAGAGGGAAAAAACTATTTTGAAAACATTTGAAATTTTGGAATAAAAATTATTTATATTATTGAATCCAATTACAAACTTAAACATGGATAAGTCTCAAACATAAGCCTGAGTAAATGAAAGAAGTTGTAAAAGAACATGCACAGTATTGTTCCATTTATGCACAAAAGCAAAAGGTAAAATAAGTTTTATTGTTTGAGGCCGCATACATACATGATAAAAGGTAAAGGAAAGCAGGAAATGCCTATACCCCAAAGGGAATAATTATCCCAAAGGATAATGGCTGTATTTAGAGCAGATGTTAAAGATATAATGGGGAAGAACTGGTAATTGTATCAATAATTTGTTCTTAACTTACATGGACATTCACTGTATATTTGTTTATTTTGTTTATTTATTTATTGAGTCGAGGGTCTTACTCTGTCACCTGGTACTACAGGTGTGCACTACCGTGTCTTAGTAATTTTTAAAATTGTTTGTAGGGACAAGGTCTTGCTATACTGGTATCAAACTCCTGTGCTCAAGCAATTCTCCCACGTTGGCCTCTCGAAGCGCTGGGATTACAGGTGTCAGCCACCACACTTGGCCTAATTATTCTTTAGAATTTAGTATATTGTATCTTTGGCAATATATATGGTAATGTAAAATTTAAATAAGTACAAAGAAATACAATAAGTACAAATTAATACTTTTACAATTTTTAATGTTTTAAACATAATTTGCACCATTGACCATGGCACATGTGTTTCAGGTTCCACTTTATGAAACTGATTTTCTTTTTTTTTTTTTTTTTGAGTTGGAGTCTCACTCTGTCCCCCAGACTGGAGTGCAGTGGCCGCTCTCCGCCACTGCAGCCTCAACCTGCTGGGCTCCAGCAATCCTTCCACCTCAGCCTTCCAAGTAGCTGGAATTACAGGCGCACGCTAGCACTCCCGGCTAATTTTTTTGATTTATTGTAGAGATGAGGTCTCTCCAAGTTGCCCAGGTGGGTCTCGAACCCGCAGGCTCAAGCAATTCACTCACTTCAGCCTCCCAAAGCACGGGATTACAGGCTGAGCCACCGAGCCTGGCCTGATTTTCATTTTTAAAGACATCAATTTAGTAGCAGACAACAGCTAACTAGGTGTGCAATAAACAGAATTTTGGGTGGAAACCCAAAGTTCTAGCAGACACAAAATTAGAAAAAACACCAAAATTAGAGTAAGAAAATTGACTATTTTGGCTTTTCCATTTATTGTTCCTGTAATCTTGCAGTACTCTCTGAATCTCAGTTGCTTCATCTGCACATATGAGAATTTAGTATCTGATACCAGAGGTCAATCAAATTCCTAAAAAGAAAGATGATTATATCATTGATAAATGGAATTATGAGAATTAGATAGACATGTGGGAAAACAAAATTGACTCCCTATCTCACTTCTTATACCAAAATAAAATAAGATGAATCAGAGGTCAAAATAAGAAACGATAGCAGGACTTGGTGGCTCAGCCTGTAATCCCACGCTTTGGGAGGCCAAGGTGAGTGAATTGCCTGAGCCCGCGAGTTCGAGACCCGCCCAGGGCAACTTGGCAAGACCTAGTTTCTACAGTAAATCAAAAGTAATAATAATAATTAGTCGGGCGTGGTAGCGCACGCCTGTAGTTCCAGCTACTTGGAAGGCTGAGGCGGAAGGATCGCCGGAGCCCAGCAGGTGGAGGCTGCGG